ATACTTATATATATATATATATATATATATATATATATATATAACTCATAAGTAATACTCATTCCTTCAATTTACTTTAGAGTAAATCTAATTAGTCTTATTTCATTCAATAACTCATGTTTTATATCAAATTTTAACGATTTAACAAATGAATTTAAAGTTTTTAATGCATAAATTAAGTTTGCATATTTTAAAAACATTTACAGACTTGATTTATGCATTAAGAAGTTTAAATTTAATAATTAGATCATTGAAATTTGAAGTAGAACATGAGTTATTAAATAAATTAAGTCTAGATAAAGTTACTCTTAGACTAAACAGATCCCTCTTATATATATGAGGAGGGATCTGTTTATTGTAAGAATAAGTCTACTTAAATTTATCTTATTCAATAACTCATATTTTACATAAAATTTCAACGATCCAACCGTTGAATTTAAAGTTCTTAATGCATAGATCAAATTTGCAAATTTAAATTTTTTTTTAAAATTATTTGATACTTCATTTCATTAATTTAAATCAATGTATAAATGATTTTATGATAATATTTGTATAAAATCAATGTATAAAATGATTTTATGATAATCATTTGATACTTCATTAATTCATTTACACTTAAGATTTGGAGACAATATTTGTATGGTTCTAAATTTGAGGTGTTTAGTGATCATAAGAGCCTGAAATATCTTTTTGACCCGAAAGAGTTGAATATGAGATAGAGAAGATGGTTAGAATTTCTAAAGGATTACGATTTTGATCTTAGTTATCATTTGGGCAAAACCAATGTAGTGGTTGATGCCTTGAGTGACAAATCTCTACATGTATCTTCCTTATGAGTAGAGAAATGGATCTTTTGGATCAGTCTAGGGATTTATGTTTGGCTTGTGAGGTTACCCTAATATTTTTAGACTAGGTATGACTCGAGTCACTAGAGGCTTGTTGAAGGAGATTGGGGAAGCAAAATTAGTTGATTCATTTTTTGTAACAAGACACAAGGCCATAGGATAAGGTAGTGGAGGGGAGTTTACAATGGGTGTAAATGGAGTGGTGAGATTTAGAGACCAAATATGTGTACCTAGTGAGCCTACACTTAGGCGCTTGATCTTAGAATAGGGTTATAGAAGTAAAGCTAATGTTGTAGCGAGTGCCTTGAGTAGGAAGACCGTTCACCTATAATCTTTGATGATTAAAGAGTTGGATTTGATTGTGGAGTTTAGATACTTAAGGTTAGTATGTGAGCTTACCCGTAGGAGCAACAGATTGGGTATGTTAGAGGTGACTAGTAAATTGAGAGATGAGGTTAGAGGACCCTAGGAGTTAGATCCTTTCCTAGTGAATCAAGTGGAGACGATTGGTTGGGGTATAGATAGTCCTTTCCGAGTAGGAGTTGATGGTGTTTTGAGGTTCAAAGATAGAATCTGTATGCCTAGTAATCATGAATTTAAGAAGATGATCTTATAAGAAGGATATGAAAGTACTATTAGTATTCAACTAGGAGTTCTTACGATGTATCGGGACCTTAAGAAGATGCTTTGGTGGCCTAAGATGACGATAAAGGTAGAAAAGTTGGCGTACTCATGTTTAGTATGCTAGAAGTTTAAGGTAGAACACCAGGAGCCTTTAGGACTTTTGTAGTCTTCTGATGTCCCTGTTTATGGGATATTTTGATATAAAAGTTATATTATGATATTTTGGGGGTTAGAAATATTTTATTAATGTCGGGAAAAAAGTATTTTGTATAATATTTATTTATTTGATTATTTGGGGAAAAAGAGAAGTGAGTCAGAAAGTGAAATGAGCTTGGTTGACTCAACCCAAGGGAATGTTAAGAAGGGGTTATCAGATTAACCCTCATTTTGGGGTTTCATTTTGACATTCTAATGGAGTAAGAGAATAGGAGAGGAAAAATAAGGAGCTCTAAGGAAGAGTACTTAGGAACAATCTCTAATTGCATTAGAATTATTTGGAATAACACAAAAAGGTTTAGGGGAAAAAAGGAGATTTTCATATGCGTAATCACAAAAGGGAATGGGTAGAGGGAGAGTTCCATAGGATTATTAGTAATTTTATGATGTTTTCTGTTTGCATGTTTGACAATAATAACAATTTCTGTATGGATTTATATTGGTTTTTGTGGTGTTAAATTACTGAAATTGCGGTTCTGAAAGATGGATTAGATCAATTAAATGTGCTTGTAGGTCAGGGTTCAAGGGAATTGGGATTTTGTTAAATGATATATGTTTTTGGGAAATTGAGATTGCGTAATGTATTCGTGCATGAAAATGATGAATTTTGACCGATTAAAATGTGAAAATATGGTTTATTTGTTGATTGATTAATGTTTGTAATTTTTTTTCGCATTTTTGGGTTGCAGAAAATTACATTGGCGTCAAACTTAGTTCCTCGCGTCGGGGCGGACCTTCATGAAGATGAAGATGGAACGCAGAAGGTTTGCACTGAGCGAAAATGTAATTTTGTCGAGCGTAATTCTTTAAGGTGGTCTCTACGACACCTTAACGTCGAGTGTGATATCTCAATGCCAAGTGTGGGCAAGAACAAGAGCTTTCTAATTGAGCTTAGCACCGGGAGAAATTGTAATCTCGTCGAACATGAGTCAGAAATGGAATTGTGACATAGTGTATATAAGATTTGTGATGAGATAGTGAAATGGATTGACTTAGAGTTGATGATGTTAAGCATGCTTGAATGATGGATATTGTGTTATTATATTATTGTAAATTGAGATTGTTTTGTGAAATTTCCTACTGTGCTTTTCATATTGATGTATTCTTTTCTCACCATACATTTCATGGTTGTTTTTAGGTGAGGAAAATCCGGACATGAGTGACATTCAAGGTGCCAATAGTTGAGTCATGAGATTGTTCTCATAATGTGACATCAGGGCAATTGATTTTAAATTATTCATTTTATTGTAATTGGATTTTATATTTCTTTGATAGTTGAGTTTCTGAACTTATACTTTCTAATTTTTGTTTAAAATTATTTAGACTGTTGAAAGTATTTTGGTATGTGAACCATTTTACCCGTGTTGAAGGAGTTATTCTTTATTATTACATTATATTATATGTTAGGGTAGAATGGATGTCACATAAGAGATTTGTATAGTTGATGATGACTTAAAAGAATTAATTTGTACTACCCATATTAATAAGATGCATATATTTTTCGATAACTTATCTTATAAGAATTCTACAATTAAGTGTGCTTGAATTGTAGAATATTGCAAAACATCAAAAGTCATTTTCATAGTTCATTTCTCTCTACGACACTTTTCCTTCCCAAAACAACACTCTCTCTTCGTAACCCACAAAAAATGGAGATCGAAAACTATGAAAAAATTGCCCCATATACATATATCGTGTTCACCAACAACAACTCATAAAGGTAATGAGAAGATGGAAGAGGTAGTTTTCTTGATCAAGCAACTGTGGCCGAACCATTCTGAGCAAAATCATATTGTGAGGCAAAAGACCACTATAGTATAGCACGGTTGAGACTGAAGTGGCTGGCTCAACAACTAAAGACGTCACAAGCCTCACCACTGAACTAAACAACAAAGTTGTAAGAGACTGCACCAACCACACCAGATTCAAATTAAAACACTTAATTCCTGCTTAAATCATACACACATTTGATAAAAGTTAGGCCCCCAAAAATAATCACAAAGATAAGAATAAGATGCAAACCATGATTGTTATATTCTGAATCGAGTGAATGAATGAAGAAGCAGCGTACTGTAATTAAGCAGGTCCATGAAGTGGGGTTTTGAGATTTGGTGTTAGCTGGCTCTATATAGAGGGATGTTATTCGGATTGTCTTTCAAAGTTGATCTACCGGATATTCAAAGTTCAAACCCACCCGTCAGCGAAAGTTCAAATGTTCATTAAATTATACTCTGAATCAATTCTTGAAATTATATATTAACACAGATTAATTTCATTTTAATTTCTGAAATATAAAGCATATATTATGGTTCTTATTTTTATAATTTTAAGAATTAAATTAACCATCATTTAATAATTTTGGATTATTAAAAAATTATTTATTTAATTCCGTGCATTAATTAAATTAATCCATGCTTGCCATTTCAAGAACTATTTCAACATATTACGATGTTAGTTTATATATATATATATATATATTTAGATTGAGAAGCAAGAAAAAAAAATGATTTCTCAATGTCCAAGTCTTGGGTTCCAAACTAGCAAGAGAAGGGAGAAGAAAATTATCTAAACTCTCATCTGTCTAGTTAGGTGGTCCTTGGCTCCTTGCACCTTAAATCGTAAAAGGATGTGAAATAAGATTCATGATGTTTTGATCTAGGCTTAGGATACCCATGTTGATTAAAAAAAAATGGTAATATTCGTTAAAGACAACATTCCTTTGAAAAGAATTATTCATGTAATCATGTTTGAGATATAGATAAGAGGAATCGTGTTTCAAAATTTGAACTTGTGAATCATGAGTGCAAGGCGAAAAGGTGGATAAATCAGATGAGATCGTGTAAAACATTAGTGCATACGCTAATATTTTTTAACCGACTAATAACCTGAATTCGTTTATGTTTCCCTTCTTCTGGTTGGATTTACTACCAAAGTTAACAACGAAAAAATAGCAATGGTAATACATAGAATAAAAACTAGAGAAACCATGTGAATTCTGTTTTCTAGTCAAATCAACCAGTTTTTTGTTTTTGTTATTTTTTGGTCGTCCTTTTGGGTCCACTATATTGTTTTGGTCTATTAATTGTATTTTGGGTGATGATATATACACCTCCATTTTTTTATACACACACCCCCTTTTTTAAAAAGTATATTAAATTCCTAAATTATTATTAATATTATTTGAAATAAAAAAAAATTATCCTGGAAAATTTATTTCGGGGTGTATTTGTACATAATTATGGAAAGTTCTTTCCGGAATACTAAAATTACTATTCCGGAAATAACTTTCCGTTAGAATAATTCTGGAAAGTACTTTCCGTAACACTAAAATTACTATTCTTTCCGGAATTATGGTAACAAATACACACTATTAATATTCCGGAAAGAATTTTTCGCAATAGTAATTCTAGTGTTACGGAAAGTATTTTCCATAATTATTTTGACGGAAAGTTATTTCCGGAATAGTAATTTTAGTATTTTGGAAAGTACTTTCCGTAATTATTCTGACGGAAAGTTCTTTTAGGAAGGCTCATGATATATACACCTCCTTTTTTTTATAAGTACACCTTCTTTATTTTTTTAAAAAAATTTATAAAATATTATATATATTTTTTAATTTTATACCTTTAACTTTCAATTTTCTACTTTTTTCTTTTTTTTTCACACAAAATAACGGGGTGCATGTAAAAATTAAAAAAAGAAAAAAAGAAGAAAAAAGAAAGATCTGTAAAAAAAATATTAAATTAAATGTTGTGAATGTAAAATTTAAAAAAAAAAGCAAAAAATTAAGAATATTTTAAAATTTTAATTATTTTTTTTTGAAAAGGAGGTGTACTTATAAGAAAAAGGAGGTGTATATATCATCAACCTTTGAAAAACACTTTCCAGAATTATTTTTTTTTATTCTAAATAATATTAAGGATAATTTAAGAATTTAATATTTTTTTAAAAAAGTGAGGTGTATGTATAAAAAAATGGAAGTGTATATATCATCAACCTTGTATTTTCTTGAATTGGGTTTGGATCCTTTTGGGCCAAGGCCATTTGACAACATTGGAAACAAAGACTGTGTTGTGTTGACAAAACAAAAAAAAACACACGAAAGAATCGATGTTAACGGGACTGACAAGTGAAGACGTAAAACGGGCTATTTCTGGACAAATAGAAGGCTCATCATATATATACTTTTTTTTTTCTTCTTTTTTTTTTATAAGTACACTTTCTTTATTTTTTTATTTAAATTATAAAATATTTGTAGTTTCTTTTTAATTTTTTTTTTAATTTTATACCTCCAACTCTTTTTCTTTTTCACACTTTTTTTTTCTCTTTCAATTTTTACATGCATCATTTTGTCTTTTTTTAATTTCTCACATATTTTAGTAGGTAGTTTTAACTCTCTCAATTTTTACATTATTCTTTTCTTTCCTAACCTCTTTCACTTTTTCATATGAACCCGGACCGTAAAACTGGTACGCGACAATATTATAGGTATATGCGACTTTCTTGACAATTTTTACTGAATTAGACACATTTTTTTTCTTTCAATATACTTCCTCTCCTTTCACCTCTTCAAAAACCTAAATACTAAATTTAATATTATGAAAAAAAATATTTTCACTATTCTAGAGTACTGTGTGGGATAGTGAAATTAGTGTTCTAGAAAGATCTTTCTACTGTGTTTTTTTTACACATTTTCAGAAAGTACTTTCCGAAATACTATGTAAAAAAGGCTAAAACCCTAATTTAGTCTCTTATAATATTAAAAAAATTTAATTTGGTCCCACTTTAATTTTTTATTTCAATTTAGTCCCAATTTATTTAAAATATTTTAATGTGGGACTTCTGTCCAAATTTCACAAAGGTTTGTGAGAATCACACCGGTGATTCCAAATCACGACCGTTATTCTCACGTGAGGTGTTAAATCTCGTTCTTCATTCTCCGATCACCACTAACGTTAGAAACCATTGCACGTTCACCGCGCACTGTATCAAAAACACCCCCTGCTTCATCATCCTCTCCGTCACACTCCTCTCAACCGAGGCAAACAGGTGCAATTCTTAATCGTATGTTCCAACGAATGCACAATGTCAAACTCAGGAAAATTAGGTCTCAAATCTAGGAAATCAATAATCCGAAGAATCATCCTATCGAGCTCGTAGACGCCATAACTGGCGGCGGGGGTCACCTCCGCCATTGGCAAGGGGCGGTCGTCCCTCCGCATGACAACGTAGGCGCACGCACCGACGAGCACGTTGAACCACTTTCCCTGGCCGAACTCTCCCTCGGTGATCACGGATATCATGCTTCTAATGTCGATGCTCTCGGAGGATAACCCTAACCATTAGGTTAAATCGTCGATGGAGTTCTGCGTGGTGAATAGCTTCCTCTCGCGATAGGAGTAAACGTTGCCGAAAGCGGCGGTGCCGACGTGGATGAAGGTTCCCGTGGGACCGTCGAGGCCGCCGATTTGGGCGTCGAATTGGTCAAACTGCTGAATGACACCGCAGGAGGAGCAGAGCAACTCGCCGGTGTCATCGTTGCAGATGAAGGAGGTTTTGCTGCACTCGACGCAGGGAGGAGTCATGGACGTTGCGTTATGCGTGCAGCGAAAGCTTCGTATGAGTTTGGAGCGGTGAACGTGCAGCGGTTTCCGACGTCGGTGGTGATTGGAGAACAAAGAACAAGATTTAACACCTCATGTGAGAACCACGATCGTGATTCTCACGTACCTTTAACACCGTTTGTAAAATTTGGACGGAAGTTCCACATTGAAGTATTTTAAATAAATTAGGACTAAATTGAAACCAAAAATTAAAGTGGGACCAAATTAATTTTTTTTTAATATTATAAGGGACCAAATTAGGGTCTTAGCTGTAAAAAAATACAATTAACATTGTCAAGAAAGCCACACATACCTATAATATTGTTGAAAAGTAGTTCTATGTTTTGCATCTGTGTGAAAAATAAAAGAGGGGAGAGAGGAGATAATAGTAAGAAAACTGAAAGAGGAGAGGGGAAGAGAGTAATGTAAAACTAAAAGAATAAAAATTAGCTACCAAAATAGGTGGGATGAAGGAAAGGTAAGGGGGTACATGTGAAAATTGAAAAAAAGAGGGAAGATGTGTAAAAAAAGTACTAAATTAAATATTGTGGTTGTAAAATTAAAAAATTAAAAAATAAAAAATTCAGGATATTTTAAAATTTTAATTATTTAAAAAAAAGAGGTGTACTTATAAAAAAAAAAAAAGAGAGGTGTATATATATGAAAAGGAGGGGTCATAATTGGATTATATATATTTTTACCCTTAATTTTTTTTAGTCGTTGAATAATTTTTTTTTATATTAATTTTGGTTTCAATATTTATTTCAATTTTCGTCTTCAATTCTTAATTTTTTTTTAATATTTGGTTCTTAATGTAAAATTTTTTTGTTTGTGAAATTTTTTTCAAGGACTAATACTAAATAAAATTTATTTAAAGATTAAAAACAAAAAATGAAAAAAATTTAAGAACTAAAAATATATTTAATTCTATTAGAATTTGTTCTTCTTCATGGAGATAATATAGTGACATTTGTAATTTTTAGAGAAAAATTCAAAGTCGTCATTGCAAATATACCAAATAAGATGGTAAAAACATTTAAATCTATTTTGTCATCTGTACATAAAAAATGAGACAAGACAATTGCTTCTTGCACCATCACAATTAATACATCTACATTCTTTTAAAAAAATTTCTAAATTATCCTCATACCTTCACTTTTGATTATTTTCACATCTTTACTACTTCCACACCACCTAGAATGGTTATAGCCACACCACTAAAATGAGTATTTTCATTCCAAATACTAAACTCCAAAAACTAAAATTTGGTGTCCATGAATACAAGGTTGAATGGAATATATTTCATAAAGGAACATACTTCTAAATCCTAAAGGCATGACCTAAAAAAAACACACCCTTAAATATAAGGGCAAAAATAACCTATACATTTAACTACTATATACAGAGGAATGGAAAGAAAACTATACAAAGTATATACAATAAAAAACTAAATAAGTAGGAGGAGAACACATGCTCATGATAAGAAAACGTAAAAGAAAACACATCCTCTCTATAGTTTCC